AACATAAATGCAGCCTCAAAAGGGTGCAATGATTGCACCCTTTTGAGGCTGCATTTATGTTTTTTTGTTTGTTTGTTTGTTTTTTTGCAATCCAGTGTCCTATTTGTGCCGGTCCCAAGCCTGGTTAAATGCAGAGGGTAGAGCATCAAACATAAAACCTGTAAGGCAAATCAAATGGATCAAATGAGAAGATAGAGATATGGATAGGGGGACTGATATGACGACAGCATAGTTAGTATAGTTTTCTTTGCATAGATGATTAGAGAAGCTCACCCACACTCGCCCCCCCCCCCAATATTCTACATGCACCCCCTACTGGGGCTGGCTAAATCCGGCCCTGTTCAGCAGTATTGTAAGTAGACAACTGCAAGTCACTGTGTATTCTCTCATCAACAGTGTCCAGGAGCTGAAACTTTTTCTCCGTTCGGCTTCCCTGCCTTCCTAGACTCTCCCAATCTCTCTTACATCAATGGAAGTTCCTTTTCAATTCAGCAAACTTGGGTAGGCTGGTTAGTTTTACTCTCAGTATTGGCTGTAGATCTGGCACAGGCATCTCTGGCACTTTTCCTCTGCTTTCCTCTTCTGCAAGTCTTTGTGCTATAAGAAATTCTGCTCTTCTGGCTTCAAGGTTATTGCTGAGTGTTTTTAAATCCTTCACTCTACCACCTAGACTTGCCTTTTGTGCTACTGGAATCCATCTCCCAAACTGTTAGGCTTGCCAGCGCTTCTTGGATTAGTCTCTTCACACTATCCAACTGTAGCTCATAGCCATCTCTATGCACAGCAGAAATCGGTATTACACTAACTCTTTCACAGGCTGCCTCTGTTTCTTGAATCGCAGACTTCATCTCACCTTCCCCATATCTAGACCAGAGATTGGACTGGACTGTTTTCTGACTTCTTCCAGCCTTGCATCGCACTCAGCCATTGTTTTCTCAAGGTCCGCCTGCTGCTGCCTTGTCAGTTTAGCTTCCTCACCATCTTTTGTGTCAGTTTCAGTGTCTGCTAGTTGGCCAGTCCTGCATTCATCATTTGTTTTGCTGACATTTCTCACTAGAGAAATGAGCTTCCTGAACTCTTGTAGTTCACTCATGGTCATGTTTCCAGCGGCCCTTCTCAGGAAGTTGGCTTGCTTGGTGAAGGCGCTTTTAGCTAAGGTCCTTTCTTGCTTCAGCTGCTTCACTGTCTGTCCAAGAGTTTCCTCCTTCATTGTTACCTGTCACTTCTCCCTCTACGACAGTTTATCGACCTCTGCCACTGCCACGTTGGTTATCAGCTGTCCCGTTATGTTAGGTTTCAACAAGTCAGCTCTTGCCCAAACTTGAAAAACTGCCTGCTCAAGACTGAAGGACGCAAGGAACAACTCAATTATCTTCTTCAATTGGAATAGGTTAGGCTGAGATCCTTCAAAGATAAACAACAACAATATTGCTTCATTTTAAATGAACATTTTTTTAACTAAACATCTATTTTATTCATCAATATCCTGGTCGTCAATGTCACAAATAAAGTAAAAGTAGACTAATAAAGTCTAAGTAGTAAAAATTAGGAAGACACATTAAGTTTACTTATATACAGAAGCGACACAATATATTATGCCACTTCATTGAAATGAGCTATACTAACAATGCAAACAGTAGATGCTTTTCTACAACATAAACTGTGGTTTTTTTTAACACAATAATACAATGCAAATTGAGCCAATGGTCAATGCCCATAAGACTGTTACACTTTCATTCATAACACCATCAAACTAAACATCAAACTAAACAGTCATGTAGTTCAACATGAACAAGTAAACAAATGACAGTTGCCCTTTGATTCCAGGGGCAGTCCCCAGGGTTAGAGCCTCACTGCAACCTATGTGCTACATTAACCAGAATGGAAGACAGATGGTGGTTCTGATATCTCAAAGAATTCTGTTCCCTGTTGGTTCAGACTGTCATTGCGCTGCTGGATTTTGTTAATAGTAAATGGCAGTCGCATCTGAGCTGGATAAAAACAAAATGTGAACAACTTCCAACAAAATCCTACTCCGGCTGCAAGTATGGCAGGTTTATTTAAAAAAAGTACACTTTTTTTTTTTTTATTGTTTAATACATATTTTTATGTACATTGTTTTGAGTATTACATAAAGCTGAGAAATGTTTTGCAAATTACAGATATAAAAGTGCATGAAAGAAAGTAATTCTCCATTTACAGTATCCTACCAAAAGTATCATAGAGTATCAGGTCTGTTTTAGAAAATAACAGCATATTAAACACGTACAGCCCTGTTGGCATTTCTTTGGAGGTACTGACTGCTTCAATGAGCTATAGATAAGCTTCTACTCATTTCTGCAAGAAAGCCAATGACCCATTTCTTAAGGCATTAATAAATTTTAATAGTGAACATGGCAGAATAATTGTGCAATAATTGTGCTTTTATGAATTGCAAACATGAGCCTTTGGGCCAAGATTGGTGGCTTCCTCTTGGCCACTGTTACTGTTATCAGCAGAAAATATATTTACATATTTCATAGTCACATAGTTTTTGTACAGTTATGTTTTGATGCTCACAGTAGGATTTTGTAAATGTCCCATTTGTTTGTAATCTTTGGCTAATTTCTGTGGTTTTCCATGGCAAAAAAACCTGAATTATATGGCACTTTATAATTTGTTTATATAGATATGTGAACAATATAAAAGAAGCTGTGTGCTTTGGATGGCATTTCTATGAGCGAATCAGCAGCAGCCTGATTTTTTATTCGGCTGCTCCTTGCGCAATATCAATGGTGCTTCTTCCTTCTGATCCGTCTGCTGTTTGAGCATCCTGGAGGCACAGAAACACGAAGCGTGAGAGCAGAAAGTCCTTCCATATATGCTAACAGTCCTGCTGTAGCAGTATGCAAAATGCAAATAGACATTAGTCGTGGGGACACATTTGAATGCAAGAAAATTAAGTAGCATTCACATTCCAATCTCTATGGTGCAATAACAGTGACGCTGTAAGTAAAATTAGTGACGGTCATTTACAGTAATTATGGTTCCTAATCATAGATTTAGAGGGACATACCGGGCCAAAGTTTCCATCGAGAGCGCCACATTCTCTCCAGTGGCAACGCTACACTCCATGAACTTAATTCTGTGCTCCTTTAAAAGAAATAGATACCCAGTAAACAATGTCAGGACCTCATATTGCTCAATACACTGCAACGATATCATGAGACAACCCGACCAAAGAATGCGTGCTGCAGTCTGCCTTGCACAAGTACTTAGATCAGAAATAGTGTCCAAAATTAGCATTCATATGGTTACTATGGACAGTTCTGTGGGTTATTTGCTATGTGGTAATAAGATCTGTTATTTTCAGTGTGGCCTACAACCAATATTGGTTTCTGTTTCTCTTATGAAGAAGAAAAACTCAACAGTAAACAGCTTTCTGTCTGTAGTTCAGAGTCAGTTTTTTAATTAACACCATAACTGTTATTTTGTTGATATTTACTTAACGTACATAAAATATATTCAAAGTGCATATGTTAGGCACTTGTTATGGTGAGACTCAAAAGTGTGACATTTGAACTTATTTTACTGAAAAATGTAACCACCACAGAGGCAGAAGATACTCAAGTAGAACCAGCTAGCTCACGTAGGATAGGTTATGACTGTAAATATCCTCCTGAGACCCAAGGGAAAAAGTGTCCTTCAATTGTAGGTTATCTGTCTTTGGAGGAAATAAGACATCTTACAATTTAGATTTTTTCAAATTTATTCTTATTTTAATTTCACAGCATGTCCTCTTTAGTGCACAACAAGAATAAATATGTTTCCCAACATCAGCGAAAAAATAAATGTAAAAATACAATGTCCACTACAATGGACATAAATGAATAGGTCGGGTCTCAGGAGGATATGCTTAAAATGTAAATAACTCTCCAACACTTCTACTGCCCTTATTTTAGTAGTTCCTTGGTCAGTTCAATGGAAAATCAGTGGTCTGTCATCAGTCCTAATGACTAACCAAAAAAATAATTTTAAGTGTTTCTGGAAATACCCTACTGAATTTATATTGTTTAGGGAACAACGGGGCAGAAACTAATGAAATCACCTGTAAGCTTCTGTAAAAATAAAATAACCTTATTAAAAGTTTAGCAATAGTGATAATACTATGTAATATTCAGACATTAACCAAAGACTCTGTATACATGCTATGGTCTACAAAATCCAATAGCTGAAGTTGCCAGATGTTGAAAGATGTTAGTATGTCATCATACTAACCTTGGCTAATCTTTCCCCCTCATGGAGAGGGACTTCTCGTTTGAAGCTGTCATTTTTGTTGCCCAGCAACATAATGATGACATCATCTGTGGCTCCTTCCTGTTAGAGGCAAGATCGCCATAGATAAAAATATCACGCGAAAAAGCCTTTCTCACTTACTGTATACGTTTAAAGAGTCAGACCTGTTTACATGGTTTCAATTAACCTACATAAGAACATAATGTTCTTATGTTCTTAATTAACCTAAGGCATAAAAAGCTGAGGCTAAAACTGTCCTAAAAGACTTACTTTGTTACCCTGACCTTAGTTTGAAATGACTTTGCAAGATGAGTCATTTTAATCTTAATCAGAAATCATGCTGTATCAATTCCATTATGTACAATTTGCACATACATTGTTTTGCCAAAAGTATTGGGACACCTGCCTTTACACACAAACTTTAATGACATCCCATTCTTAATATATACATAATAAGGAGTTGGCCCACTCTTTGCAGCTATAACAGCTTCAACTCTTCTGGGAAGGCTGTCCACAAGGTTGAGGAGTGTGTTTATGGGGATTGTTGACCATTCTTCCAGGAGAGCATTTATGGGGTCAGGTACTGATGTTGGATGAGAAGGCCTGGCTCGCAGTCTCTGCTCTAATTCATCCCAAAGGTGTTCTATTGGGTTGAGGTCAAAGCTCTGTGCAGGCCAGTTAAGGGGCCAAGCCCAACCCCTAAAAAACAACCCCACACCATAATCTCCCCTCCTCCAAACTTTACACTTGGCACAATCTAGTCAGGCAAGTGTCGTTCTCCTAGAAACCGCCAAACCAAGTGATTTGTCACTCCAGAGAACATGTCTCCACTGCTCTAGAGTCCAGTGCTGGCGTGCTTTACACCACTGCATCTGACACTGTGCATTGCACTTGGTGATGTAAGGCTTGGATGGAGCTGCTCGGTCATGGAAACCCATTCTATGAAGTTCTCTAGGTTCCATTCTTTTGCAAATGTTTGTAGAAGCAGTCTGCATGCTTAGGTGCTTGATTTTATATACTTGTTGCTATGGAAGTGATAGGAGCATCTGAATTCATTTCAGATTTGGAGGGGTGTCCCAATACTTTTGGCAATATATTGTGTGTGTATACAAAACTTTTCTGATGCAGTTTAGGAAAAAAATGTATGTTTTTCAATGCAGAATAGCAGGATTCCTACTGGACTTTAAAACCTAGCAGCATTTTGATCAGTGTTCCGCTGTTTAATCATTATAGCTCCTGCTGAGAGCAGCTGTGTCCGGCTTCTGAAGAGATTAAGAGGGTCTGACAGAATGGCAGATACACTGGTATAAGGACACTACCTGAATGCAGGATATCCAGTATTGGACACTGTTGAAACTATCAATGCAAGTTATGTCGTACATGAGCAGCAGTCCCTGGGCTTTGCGTAAGATCTGTTTAGTGATGCTGTGGTACCTGAGGAGAACAACACATTGTAGCTGAAAGCATATATACACAAACACACAGTCGCCCCAACAGATGAAGTTATTCATGACTTGGCCTTGGATAATGGAATGGGAATACATTTGGAGTTCTCTGAAAGATTACAGAAATGCCCAGATAATGTGTAAGCCAAAAATATGGAAATGATTTGGATTGCATAAAATCATTTATATATATATGTATGTTGGACTATGGGATTTACATATCTTCGCTTGAGTGTGCCACACATCTTTGTCTCTGCAACCAGCCTCGCTCATGTGTCAGACCCATCTCTGTGACCGTGGAACCTCACATTTGTCACACTTGCTTTTCAACTTTTCAGTGCCATTAATTTCGCATTTTTAATAATGGGCCCAAATATCATTTGCAAACCTTCTCATTCGTGTGGATCGTCTACCCCAGACCCTTGTGAATGTGAAGGGGTGGCTGTAATCTACCAAAATTATTAATACTGTATATGCAATTGATATTATGAACTTAAGTAGAAACTCTTACCTCTCCTGTCCAGCAGTGTCCCACAGCTGTAGAAGGACACGTCTACCATCCACCACCAGAGACTGGATACAGCTGTCAAGACCTGACATGTACATACAAACACACTATATGGACAAAAGTACTGGGACACCTGGCTATTATAATTACAGATTCAAGAGGTTGGTTCTAAATGTCCTGGGTATGATATTAAACTGCATTCAACCCTGCAAGCGGGTGTCTTGTCTGGTGTCTCAGCGTATGCTCTGACCGCGGTGAGTGATGTCTTGGGAAGGGAGACATTTTGCTTGCATCTTTGCTCAGTGGTTGATGGGTGCCCATAAGTGACACTCCCCTGGTCATCGGTGACTTTAATGCAACCACTGGCACTGACAGGGCTGGATATGAGGATTGTGTCGGTCCCCATGGGTCTGGTGACCGGGGTGGGAGTGGCTCCAATCATCTATGACCCATCACACCCTGAACTCCTCTCCTCTGGCAGATGATTCAGAAGTCTCCAGACCAGGACCAGTCCCCACAGGAAAAGTTCCTTCCCTCAAGCTATCACCCTTACAAACATCTAACCTGCAACATCAACCTACACCTGATTCCCTGACTGCTACACCCTGCTCCACTCACAACACACCATCAAACTGAATCTAAGACATCCCATACACTTTGCACTCTGTATGTCATTTGCACTTTATGTACACTGTCTGTCTGTAAATAAGACGTAAGGAGCATGTACTGATTACAATATTTTTAATACCTAATATTTTTGTCCATATGGTGCACGTACCAAAAAAGAAAAGCTACACACAAACAAGTATATATATGCAAACAGAGATAAACAAATTGGATACAGCTGAAATGACCATGAAATATTCGGTAATGCTTTGCATTAACTGTGCCTTCATAATGCTTTTATATTGCATTCATAAAACTTTCAGTGCACCTTTATAATGTATTCATGAAGTATTCATAAAACATTCATAAACATCATGTATGTATACCATAACATCCTAACATCCCTTAACAGCTGTAAAATACATTAATAACAAACATTATAATTGTATAATCATGTATTTTTTGTTATTAATGTATATTAAAGCTGTTAAGGGATGTTAGGATGTTAAGGTGTACTTGCATGCTGCTTATGAATGTTCTATGAATGCATTATGAAGGTGTACTGAATGTTCTATGAATGCATAATGAATGCATTATGAAGGTGCACTTAATGTAAAGTGTTATCAAATGTTCTATTATAATAAGTTACATTAGTACTTCTGATGGTACTTTTGGTCAGTGTTTTATCTTGAATTTATCTTTTAATTTTCCTAGATATTGGACTGTTGCAAAAATATTCAATCCAAACGTTCCTAGATCACAGAAACCTCAAGGTAGAGACCTACAGAGTGGTATCTTGTGACACTGGAGAATGCTACTCACCAATCGTGGCACAGTGGTCCAGGGTGAAATCCCCACTCTGGATGCGTTTCATGAAGGAGGTCTTGCCTACACTGCTGCTGCCAACCAGAACTATGTTGTATAGTAGGTCCGGGCCTGATATTGGTGGACTCCAGCTGCCTGTGGGGAGACAGCCAATAGCAAGCTGTCCGTTGTCCTCCGGCGTCACAACAATTCCTCCACCCATGGCCCTGAATCCCTCTTTCCCTTTATCTTCTCTATTTTTCTGTTCCTTTGCTTCCACCTCCCTTTCAGCCATCACATCTCCACTCATCTCCTGCTCTGCCTCCTCATAAATTCGTATGGCTTCCATTCTCAGCTCCTCTTCTCCACATACTTCCTCTGGTGTCATACTGTATCTTTCTGCCCCTTGCTCTCGTTTCGTCACTCCCTGTTTCTCCTTGTCCTCGCTATTCACATGTTGTATTAATGATATACCTTGTTTATTGCTAGATCTGGATGTATCATCTACTCCTGTCACGTCTGACCCTCTTTTGCCATATTCCACTAATTCTGTCAGCAATTGGTTATTATCTTTGCAAGCCTCATCTCTCCTTTCATTGTCTTTCTCTCCCTGTTCTGCAAGAAGCTCCCACTCCATAACATTCATGTCGCACTTGAGTTTCTCTTTCAAACTTTCACTATCCTCTGAGGAACCTGTACATGCTTGTTCACATTCTATTACATCACTGCCTTTGTCCTTTTGCTGCCCAACCTTTGTTTCTTTGGCCTTAATTGTCCCCTGAGCTGGTCCAACATGTAAACGTTCAGTCTTCATCTCTAACTCATCACCATGATATGCTAACAACTTTTCCTCATCTGTTGATATTTTTTGTTCTAGCTCCTCAAAACCATGACATTGGATGAACACAGGTGTCTCGTCCCATTTGTCATGGGGGCAGTCATTATTGTAATCTTCTAAACCCCTATCAATGTGAAGGCTTTCCTTTTCACTAAGCTTTAGTGCTATATCTCCCTGCGCTGACCCTCCTTCAAATGTGTCCCAATTCTTCCCATCACCTTTGTGCTGTCCTGCGGTACCACCTCTATGTTCTGTTTCCTCTTGAGTTATTGCTTCACTTAGCTTTTTGAACCCTGCTCCTTCATAATTATTCTGCCTTTCAGTCTTTTCTTTGTATTTCATCTCCATTGCTATCGTGTCCCTGCCCTGACTAGTCCCTCCATCCCATTCCGTGTCACTTTCCATACTTAACTGCACATGTTCTATAACAATATCCCTGCCTTTTTCACAACTTCCCTGCATTTGTATTCTATCTCCATCCATTTGAAATTCAGCATTCTGAATAACTTCAGGTCCCACAGCTGTCTCTGCCATAGCTTGACGACCTCTCATTTCACCCATTTCACGGACTATTGAATCTGTTTGTATTTCCATCCCTGTGCAAATTGTCTCATCATCATTATTCAGTATCTCAGGCACCCGGCTAGAGTCTTTGTTTGCTCCTCCCAGTACATCACTTCTGACCAGAACACTGTCATGACTTTGCTTTATAACATTTGCTTCTTGTTTTTCTCCATCCAGAATGACACATTCACTTAACTCATTGCTGTCTTTTTGATTTACAGCATTTGCTAAAGTGGATGGACATTGTCTGTTTTCCATGGTATTTCCAGTTGTTCCCTCTATAGTTTCTACATCTTGATGTTCTTTGTTATTTTCAAAAGTGTTTAAGTCTTCAGTTTCTTCCCTCAACTCTATTAGTCTAACTATATTCCTTTGCTCATCAGACTCTGTAACATCACCGTCTGACAAAATGCATTTCTTTTCTTGAATTTCCTTTAACTCATGATTATCTATGATAAAGTCAATGATTGTGTTTCCTTGGTCAGCAGCTTGTGGCATCTCTTGAATCTTTGCTATTTCCTGTGTTATTTCTACATTGTTATATTCTATATTATTTTCAGTTTCATCCTCCTCTGGTATGGGGTAAAGGTCATTAGCTAATTTCTGGCTGGTGTCCTTGTTTATTCCAAACTCGTCTGTCCTCCATCCTTTCCAATAAATAACATTGTCTATCTGGCTCCCCAGTTCACTTATTTCTCTGCACACTGTTGACCCCAGTTCAGCTTCATTTGTTTCATCCCAGATATCCCAACTCTCCTTCTTCTCATTACACCCAGAATAGAACTGCGGCTCCTTTAGCAGCTCACAGTCCCAGATCCACTCATTGTCCTCCACAACTGCCCTGGACGTGTGGGGGTCACATTCATTTTCAGATCCCTCCACCTCTCGAAGGTCATCAAATGTATCTCTTAGATGAGTCTTGTACCTGTATTGCAAGGTACATGGTAACATGCTGCATGGTAACTCTACCCCCACATACTCCTGGTTACGATCCAGCATCTCTAGCTCCTTGTCCAATTGTACCTCCTCATTGTCTTGGTCCATATCCAGCATCACTACCTCCACATACTCCTCGTCCTTTGATATTATCATTGCCTCCTCTCTCTGCTTGTCCTTGTATGTTATGTTTGCCTTTTCCCTCTCCAGGCATTTACCTAGGTTCTCTGCATCATTACTGTTCTGGTCCTCATGTTGTATATAGTCTTTATTCAATAACTCTGCCTCATAAAAGTCCTGACCTGGATTTATTATCACTGCCTCCTCAGTCTCCAGGTCCCTGTCTGGTATCACTATTTCCTCCCCATCTTGTTCC